ATACGATACTTAATATGAGGTAAAGATAAGGGTTAGGATAGCAACACACGTAGCCGGACCAAGGTGCGGAGTGAGATTTTCTAGATGCCAGACCATGAAATTAGAAATACATAACTTATCACTTTGCATGCAAGATACTAGGAAAGAATTGTTATAGTTAGAATTATCAAGTTATGAACCTGTGGGAAACACGTTAACCCTAGTTACTTTCATTAAATTGATTTAAATCCAAAATTAAAAACTGTTAAGTGTCTCTTTCAATTTAGGTAGTTATTTTCATTCATTTAGAAATAGAAACCCCCCTTTTTATTGTTTTTTCTTTCCAAGGAAGTAATTGACTAAATAAAAGTAATAATAGATTGAAGTTAAGTCTAGACTATTTTCCTCGTGGGAACGATCACAACCTCACTAGTTGGGTCATTTACTTGACACGACCACTTTACTTCAATCTGCTTTATCGATTTCTTAATTCATTTTAATTTTGAAAGGTAGGTTGAGACACGACAATGTCAGTCAGGCTTATTTCTTCATTTTTATTCCCCATAATTGCTTTTGACTTATTTGAACTTTGACCAGGAAACGAATATGCAATGCATTTAGATCTTCTGAAGTAAGCATGAACAACCAGAGAATCGACACAGGCCACTTTTAATTACCTATGGTAGGCAAACAACTAAAAGGAAAAATTTTTAGTGTGACTTCAGAATACATACTGCAAGATATCATATAGAAAACCGATAAACACAAAAACTTTCTTTGCTTGAGAACATGCAAATCCACGAATAGGGGGGAACTGATTTTTATGACAAGCAAGAGTTTACTCGTCTTAATATTGGATTATCTCAGAAAGTGTAAATCACATTGAGCTAAGGTCTTCTTTGTTGCATGTCTTTCGACGTCTGTCGATCAGAGTGTCATATTTCTTTGTTTAATGAAAGGGGGAGAATGAAAATTTTAAAAGATAGGGGTGGGGCATTTGACAGGGTGCCTACGTATCTAATAGAGAATTCAGGCCCTACGTAATTCGAATACAAAGGGAAATATTTGTTTTCAATCATTAATTCTCAAACAATTACAAGTACATGGAAAAACAAATAATAAAGCTTCCAAAGATAAAGGTGATTCTTTCTCAGCCCATCTTCTACTTATTGTATCATTAGTCACGAGTAACAAACTCAACTTTAGTCACGCCGAAATGGAAAGAACCTTTCAATTATGTAATCAGTGTCTTGTTTATAGGGGCAACACTTTCGAAGTTTGTTTCTTAAGGAATACAACACCCCCACGTTCTTACAAAGTGGGGCAAAGACCCCGTTTCGAACCAACTGCGAGTAAACTTCCAACATTGTTTTCTTGAAGGGTATGAATGACCTATGGTATAACTAAGTCTTCTCAGTGAATGGTATGTCAAACCTTGGTTCATATCACACAATGATAACGCTGTCACCCCATCTGTTCGTTACACTATCCATATCGATCAGGTAGCGGACCATATTCATAAACTCCACCCACTCTTTTATTTTGTGCCCTTTCTGGTTAGGATGACACACATAGGTCTTGCAGATGTCCCCTGATAGGATATGGTAAGATTCTCTCTCGATGGGCTTCATCATGCGCTCATCCAGAAAGTGCTCATTAATGAGGACACACACAATGACTTTCTTCCCTATTTGGTATTGTTGAAGATATGCTTTGAGAGTGACTTTCTGGTCCCCCTCTGCTAGACGTCCTTGGAAAAAAGTTTGTGGGCAAATGCTTTTTCAAAATCCTTTTGAAAGTTATGTACTTACTGTGCATCCTTCACATGTGGATCATCTCTTTGTCCAGAATAACACGTTTCAATGTATTAGCCGCCAGCTCCACTTCTAGTGGTCGTTGTAAAGACTTAAAGGCTGCGACGACAACCTCTACTTCGAACCTCTTCACTAGTTTCATGGAGACCCTGTTCAAACAACTTTAAATCCTCTTCGGCTGGTTCAATCTTGATGTTCTTGGCCTTATCCGTAGCTGTGATTTTTCCTGTCCCAAGATGAAAGAGTAATGTTTATGATTTGGGTACCAGGAGCTTTTTTTTTGTTGGGAAACTTAAGACTCTAGAAATTTGGTTGGGCATTTTCTAATAGTGACTTTTATATATTTGTTTGGAAATTTTTGACAAGGATTGGGTTAACAACATCCTCATTCAAAGTAACCTATCACATAAACAATTAAAGAACATATATCACGTCCTAAACATGTGGGGGGGCCTTTTGTCCCAAGGGTAAGCCTAGCGCATTTGAAAGATGTACGTATGGATTTGAACCAGGAAGTTACCCCCAAGAAATTTTGCATATAATAGTTAATGTTTGAAAAAAAGGGAAAAAATGGGAACAAAATATAAAGGGCGGTCCTACGCAGGGTCATTTGAAAAACATACTGAAATACAAGAAACATAAGCCCACACAGGTGTTGATAATGACAGAAATACATATAGAAAAAACCCACACAAGGGTGAAATCCACTATGTTGTCCTTGATGGACCTGCTCGTGCGTTGCTTCCCTGTGTATTGTATTGCTGAAACATGTACCGTAGCATCAGCAGGTAACCCTTGCTTTGGTGTCTTTCTTCTTTCCAATCCTCGTATTGCATCCCCTCTATATTTTATTTAAACCATAAGACAAGCTCATGAAATCTGCTTCTCAACCTTTCCAATTCCTTAGTTATATTGTCGAGAGTACATTGATTTTTGAGAAAAATTTAGCGTGAATTTCTTGGGCTCCCCATTTTACCTCCCTTAGCTCGATCACAACTTTGGATTTTTTTTCTTCAACACTATGGCAACTGTTTGGGAATGGAGAGGATATACTTTGTATATTTCTATTCAACCAAACCTTATAAGTTTCATCATATCCCCCGTCAAATTGATCTGAAGCGATGGTGTGTTTGTTCATTCGCATGGCCCCTTTCCACTCCCTTAGAATTTCGGTAGCGCCATCCATTCTATCGTCTTCAATGTCATACATGTAGTCACCATAGTACGCCTCTCAAGGCGTGATTTGTTTCCTCCCAATCTTTCATGGGACTCATAAGGGTACGTAAGGATAGATTCCCCAAATACATGGCAGTGGAAGCACGAGTCGTATGCGGACCCTTATGATGACATACCTTGAGATGAAGAGATCGAGCATCCATTGGACATCTTTTTCGCTTATCTCAAAACAAATTGGAGCCCATCTTCCTCTGGTGTTTTGATTTTCAAGATTTGCCAGGAAACAACTTGCCTTTCAAATCCTTGAGAGTGTTCTTATCATCCAGGGTATGTAGTTCTTGATTCTCATGACCTTTTGCCAAATGACTTAGGATCCACCATTGAAGGAGAAACTTACAACCTTGAATATAATTATGTCCTTCATTGCATTTTACTAAATCTCAATACTTGTCTGACAAAATGAGGGGACCAATAGGATAATACTTCACTTGCCCTTGATTTCGGGGCCCGTAGAATAATGTATGTGTGAGCATTATCACTCGAGTGTTGATACTTTGGCTTGGGCCGTGTGGAAAAGTGTTCCTAATAACGCGACGGCAACACCAAATATCGGATTTCATGGGTAACTCTGAACTCTTTGTTATACAATGCATCAAAGCTCGCTTTCTCGAACCTAATGTAGAGGTCCATAAATGATATATGAGAATCTTGGACCAAATAAGTGTAATCTTTTCCTAGTCCAAGTCATTTTGTAATATCTTCGACAGAAGGCGTGTTAGGGATCAAAATGTCTTCTTGTTTTCTCACTCTTCTTTCGAACCCTTTACAACCTGTATCATTGTAGTCCAGGAGTTCCTCAATTTTCAGGGTAATTTTTATAGTTTTAAACAAGAACACAAATTTTTCATTATCCCAATAGTTAGTAAGGACTTCAATGAGTTTGTCCCATCCCACCATGTTGAGTAGTTTCTGTTAGGGCAATGTTCTTTTACGATCCCCGTCAAGGTCATTGTACCACATCTTGAGTGAGAGTGGGGTTTCCACAACCATGTTGAACCGTAGAAAATGATCCATGTCTAAATAACAAAACCTTGTTAAGTTTTCCCACCCTTAATTATTTTTTTACACGTATATCCATCAAATGTCAGATAAAATGGTATGTCGTTATGTCAAAACCTTGAACATAATTTTTGCGGTTTTACTAATGGACTTAATACGCCTGGGTACTAAGAAATCTTAGGCTAACGCTTAGATTCGGTTTTCATTTCACTCTATCCTAGGTTTACTAGAATTGATTTAGAAGTGAAGGCTACCCCAGTCGAACAAACAACGGGGTGAAGCAATAAAATATGTTGGATGACCGCAAGCCAAATGTCATTTGTTACTTCCAAAAATTAGACTTGTGTGTCTTTTCTAAAGGAAGTCGTGATAAACCACATAATTTCCGTTATCCTAATGCAAACTGTTTGCCGTTCGGCGAAATTAATTTCATGAAAATTAAACAGTTTAATAATACGATAAACAAAACAAGTAAACACTAATTTATGTAGCCAAACCAGTTAGTTTTAAGTTTAGAATTCTTCAAATCCCAAGCATTGTCGTCATTTTGTTTTATTTCCAGAAAAAAGATTTATAGGTTAAGGATTTATTAAGAGCTGGCACATAATTTTAAGGAAAATCAAGAAACCTTATTTTTAAAAAAGATCAAACAGTAAATCTAATGAAAATTTAAAGGGAGTTGGGGGGTTCTTATTAACATCTTAGGAAGGTTTTGAAAGTACCTAAGACACCCGCTTACTTGGGGTTATCCGACAACTTATTTTTTGGCTACAATATCTAATTTAAGTTGTAGAGAAGAAATTAATTAGAGTTTGTTTATAAGTGAAGAATTAATTTACTAGCTAAGTGAGATTTGACTCGCAAATTTCTATGTTTATTTATATTTGGTTGATTTAATTAAGATTTTAAAGTGAAATAGCGTCTTGCGGAGAATTTGAACTTTTCTAACCCTAAAACTAGCGACAAGTAACAACAAATAAAGACGAAATAATGTAAAAGAGAGGGAAAGAGAGAGTTTGGTCCAAATGCGATTTCTGTTCATCTGGACCGGTGTTTTTGACCCATTTATTTTGTGTCTTAGGCCCACTTCGATTGTACCTCTCTTATACTAACAAAATAACTATAACAAAAGTAGGTCCTCTGGGCATAACTTCTTCAACTCTCCGATTGGCTTTGATTCCTTCATCCTTGGGATCCATACGTCAGTGTTCATGGCTTAACATGATAGAAAGGAATATCAGTCTTCACAACCCTGTAAAAAATGCAAGAGGAAAGATAAGAGTTTGTAGCAAACTCTAGCGGATTTCATCTGCAACACAAAAGTGAAAATATGTAAATCAAAAATCATTGATTTAATGCAAGAAGGAATATAGCGTAGATTGAACTCATATACTACTGCATTTCAATTTAAACAAGATGACTAGAAGACAAACAACATGATAGAATCCTTGAAATCAATAAAAATGCTTTCTCAATAGTCTTGATCCACTAAAACCATCGTCAGTATTGAACCAATACCAAGTATATGAATTAATGTCTTATCTTTTGATTTCTAACTGAAAGGATAAATTATGGCCAACTAATGACTAGATGACTTAAAATGAACAATGCATACCTAACAACAAACAAACATCAAGCATTAAAAGAGTAAACACTTTGATACTAATGATCAAGAGAAATGCAAACGAGTCAAAGCAACATCATCTACCATGAATGGATATCAGCAAACTCAAAAGTGGAGCAAAATAAGATTTAAGATGAACTAAAATAAGGAAAAAATAATAATTAAAAAAATAGAAACAGCCCGCAATAACCACGAAAAATTCCACTTCCATAACATAGCAATACACATGAACAAACATTTCTTCTTAACTAACATGGAACTCTACATGAAATAGAATCGATTAATATCAAACTATTAAATAGCTAAGTGGAGTAGAAGACAATCCATCTATATAGTACTTAAAGAAAGACTAAATTCTTGGACATTCAGAAATCCTCAAAATTGTATTAAAGAAAAAAAAAGAGGAAAAAGGAAAAAAAACAAGTCTATAATTCAAATAATTCCCAAACAAGAATAACTACAGGGATGTTAACACTTATGCAGATTAATAAAAGAATGAGGAAAGGGTAGACATACATTAACATTTATTTCCCATGATATAATTCTAGCAACAATATGATAATGAGCCTAACAAACAAAGAACTTGAAATATAGAGGAAGGACAGGTTACTATCACCAACAAACAATGAATAACACAACACACAACTCAATATCGACTTGATTTATGGTTCTTTCCCTATATCATAAAAGAAATAACCTTCACAATAAAAGAGTGACTCTACAAAACTCAAACTCAATCAATAAAGAAGCCACGACATTGAGCATAAATCCACGGAAAGCTTTAACACGACATGGTAAACATCTTGACAGAATGACTAAAAGGCATACATTATATTGAAAATTATAAACTAAATAGCAACTAACAGCCAATAAACACGTAACGAAAGCTTTAAAATAATAAGGTATCATTTCGAGACAAAAGAAGAGGCAAAAGAATATTATGAAGAAGACGATGCTACCTTTATCTTGGCAATGAAAGAGGACCGCACGAGCTAGGGGAGACTTCCATCACGGATTTGGACCTCAAGCGAAACTCGAGTAAACAAATGCAAATGGAATGAAAGCTTGATATCTTGACCAAACTAAGGCACCCTCTTCTTTGAACGTATTACTGTATTTTCTAGCCATTGTTTTCTTAAGGTGACTCTCAAATTTTTCAGCTCTAAAAGAAAACTTTGAGTCTCAAAAGGAAATTCCCAGCACAACTTTTTTTCTTTTCCTATTATTTTTCCCCCGCCTAAAATGAACCAAAAAAGGAGTTTATATGGAAGGGATTTTTTGACTTACTTGTTGGAAAGGTGGGGGGAGATTCGGATAAAAGCACTTTGTGTAACTTTTGACGCTTGGTGAGATGTTACGAGGACTTTGACTCTTTATTGCTTTATGTGTTTTCATTTTTGATGGTGTATGTGATGTATGGGTTACGTCCCAATTACTCTCTTTATGTAATAGATGGCTTGAGACTTATGTTAGACTTCTGCTTACTTTTTGTTAAACTCTTGTGATATAATAATTTTCTTTTAAACACTTCAAATTCTATTATCTTGTATGATGCATGCTAAGTGGCTTGTGTAGGGCCTCTCGGAGTCCTACATGCTATGTCACATCTAGGATATACTTTGAGTCGTGACAGAATCATAGGGAAATGTTACTAAACTATAACTATTTACTCGATCCAATTAAGAAAAATTCTACTTTTATATATGGTTTAAGCGGACTACCCTTTGTCAAAGAACATCAAATAAAATCAGATGAACTCAATCATAAACCATAAATTACTACACAGGAAATAATCACACCCCACTCCACAATTTACACCATAATGTTGTCCGTAATGCTGCAAAAATATTGCAAAATAAAAAGAAAAGTAGGGTGCAGGACTACCCTTATCAAATTTCCGTGACATAATAATCTGTAGTGTCTTCCAGTTTTTAGGATGATCTACATCATTATTAGTATCCACATCCAGTTTTAAACATATGTGAAACACATCATTTTTAGTAATCATATCAAGATTAGAACATATGTGAAACTTATCATTATCTATAGGTATATCATATTCAGTGGGCCCAAGAACTCTTCTCCCAACCCTAAGATAGATTTTTCATGATCATTTAAATGATATTTTAATTCAACTTGATGCAACTAAACTCATGTGGAAGCTAGGAAAATATTTTTATAATGTAACATCTCTAACCCGTACAGTCTAGAATAAATTCATCCCTCCTAAATCATTGCGCAGTACTGATAGTAGACCTATGTATAATGTTTGGGCCTTTAGTCATGATCACATCTATATGCACAATGATTTATGGTTTTATGTAGTCAAAACTCTCCTCGTGATCCCAAAAAGCATATATGTTTGGGTTATCAAGCCCTCCCCCCCCCCCCCCCCGAAAAAAAACAAATCTTCTCCCCCAGTTAACTCACACATTCCTCATTGTCAATTTCAAAATAGCCCGAGAATTGATTTGTTACCTCCAATGTAGTAATTTTTTCCGACAAATGACCTCCTTAAATCCTAAAATTTTCCATAGCAATCTTCTAGTTCGTCATTTCAATCTTCAAATTCTCCATTTGAGTTTTCAAATTATCCATTACAATATTGTCATCTTTCAACAGCAACTCCAAGTTAATTTGGTAAGCTATTTCAGGAAAAGTTTGGTCTTACCATTCCCATTGTCCACATGATGAAAACTGCCATAGCAGTAAAAATTATGATAATAACAAAGATTAAGAACAAAATATGTTGAATAATTTGAAGAAAGCAGTTCATATACTTCAAAATGAATGAGGACATCTGAAAAGTTATCTTCCTGCATTAGATGTAGTACTTTGTGTTTTGACCATCAAATCACAAGAATAATTTCATTGAAATGAATAACTATTTTGTGATTTTAGAAGAACAATTTGAGATTAAGGAATGAGATGGGATGATGAAAGAACAATCAGAGGTAAGGGAAATGAGTAAGAAATAAAGATCAAGGAAAAGAGAAGTTAATGGGTAAAGGGGAACGACTTATATGGAAAATTTGAGAAATGGGTAAAAGAGGAATGACGTATATGTTAGTGGGGTCGGGGCATTGGGTTTAAGATGGTGCACGAGTTGCTTTTTAAGATTCCGATTAATTGGTGTCGATTTAGGGATTTTTATCAATATTGGGGCACAAATAATTAAATTAGTAAAAATAGGGGTATGAATAACGTCATTTTAATGATAAGGACATAGTCAACTAATAAATCAAATGATAGAGGTACTTTTTACTCCTTTCCCTTAAAAAATTACGTTTTGGTGAATAATTTATTACAGAAAAAGAATATTACTTAGTGAAAGTATCATATAAATTCATTTTGAAATATTGTACTTGTCCTTTAAAGTATTATGAATTTCAATTTTTTCTCCAGAAAAGCAGAGAAGGGCCTAAAATCTCTCTAAATATTTGAATTTGCCCTTATTTATTTTTAGGAACACCGTTGGAGAAACTATTAAATATTTATTTATTATGTTTCCACATATGATTTATCCAAATTTAAACCCCCTCTGAAATAAATAAATAAATAATAAAAAGTACATATGATTCATATTATAACCCGTTATGATAGATAATAATGTTTTACAAAATAATTATTTCCTCATATGTTCCTATTGCCTAATTAGATCAATCCCCAATTTAATATAATCCAATTTATATGTGGGGATCTAACTAATATTTGTCCTCAATCCGTTTGAATATATATACTTATATTTTCATATTCTTTTAATTTGTATTATTTTCATGGTGAGTTAGGGTAGAAAAAGAAATGACTAATTTCATTCTTATATTTTGAATTGAGGATACATATAAAAGAAAATTTGTAGTATACATACATAGTTACTTAGTTAAATCATCTTATTTTGAACTAATTGTTTATAAATGAATGTAATAGTTATGATTCTCCTTTTTATCCCTTGTTATCCCTATTTAATTTGTCATTATCTGAAAAAATCAAATTTAAAATAGTGGACAAGATCTTACAAGAAATAAATGGAAGAGCGAGGAGGTGTCTCATGACCCAAAGTACACCCTAGAAGTGACATGATGCATAAGACCCAAAGAGGCCCTACACAAACTAATTTACATATATATACACAATATAATATAAAGTACAAGAATTAAGAAGTAAGTCTCATATGATAAAAGAGTTTGATATAAAAGTGGAAGTCTCACATAGTCTCGACAAGTCAATCTAAACATCATTAAGTTTTCAGGACATCAACTGTACACTACGTACAATATCTAAAAACTCAAAACATAAGAAAGTAAGCAAATATGAATAGTCATCAAAACATGAAGACTCATCAAATCATCTACCTTAGGATGATCAATCACTAGCCATGAGTAGGAGGAGGAAGATCGTCAGATCTTACATTAGTTAAACAATGTAGGCACAAGTATGCATTTATATGGTTTTAATACATGTATATGTGGCATCCTCTTGGGCAAGAAGAGGTACTTAAACTTAAATGATCAAAAGTGTTACAATAGATCTGTAGTATGTTTGAATTTTCCAAGTGTTGCTACCCTAATATGTTGTGTTTTAATATGTGTACCACCCTTGATTCAAAAGAGGGAAACTTACCAAATTTT